CTTGTTTTTGGTGCTTGCATAGATTCTTTTGGTGTTTTCATAACATTGCAAGTTGAATGGATCTTATGGTCAACAACTGAAATTCATAAATTTCCAATTTTGTCAAGGGCTTTGCTATGGGGCCGAGCGGACCCGCCAATAGGGGGGTGCCAGTTGGCCATTATGTGAACCCTTATGGCACCTCCTATGTACAAGTAGAATTGTCCATATAAATAATAGGTTTCCCTAAAACTAATAAAATTTAAAATAATAATATATCATTTTTAATAAAATTTATTTCATATAGATAATGCCATTTTTACTCTGTTGGATTTATAATTGGGAAAATTACACAAAATCCTATTTTTCAAAGTCAATATTCAAAAATCAGGTTGAAAGTTTCATTATAGAAAAATCACATATTCATTTAATTATTAAAAATTAATATTTTATTATTAATAATAATATTATAAATTAATTTATATACACACCCCCTACCCTATCTGCCCATCCAAACCTTAAAATCAATTTAAAACCTTTTTTTCTCTCTCTCTCTCTCCCTTCTCCAATATTTTTCAGGCCAGTCACTGCCCACGTTCACTACGCCACCACCATACCCACCACAACCCGTTGCCCGTCAATTTGAGAGTGGCGTTGATCTGAAGGCATTGACGCAACACGATTTGAGTTCGGCGGCGTCATCCCCGTGTTCGAAGCTTTGAGAGTGATGGCGTCATCTCCGGCAACACGACATATAATTGTGTCCTTACTATATTTAATAAATTAATTTATTGAATTTATTATATTTAAATAATAAACATTTTTAATTAATTAGCTAAAATACCCGATTTTTTTTATTTTTTTAAACCTAAAATCTGAATTTTGAATTGTTGAAACTTAAACCCTGTTTTATGTATTCTTCCCTTTATAATTTCTATTTTCTTCCCACTTTTGAATCTTTTGAGTGGGCCTGGGCCCAATTTGGATTTGAGATTTCTGTGTGATGGCCCATTTCATCTTGGACGTATTGTTAAGAGGAAATTAACCCCACCACTCTAAAAATGTAATCCATTACATTAATACACTGAAAGAATGAAAACCTTTCAAAATCGCATTAATAGGTTTACCGAACCCCAAAACCGTTTGAACTGATCAAAGGGCCCGTCATTTATAGAAAGAGAAAACCCTACCCACACCAAGAAGAAGCCGATTAACCCATGCGAAGAAGAAGTTTAAACATTGACGCGATTGAGATAAGCAGAAATCGCAGCCCAAAAACCCAATGTCACGCATCCCTCTTCTGCTCGAAAACACATCTCCAGCAATGACTACGGTCACGCACCACTATCTATTGATAGCCATCATCCAAACGATCAGGATTATGACCTAACATCAACTAATAATGCACTATTTCGTTCTAATGATGATCAAATAGATCCGATAGTTGCGAACTCAAATTTTCTTGCTTCAATTCATGTTTTACGCAACATTTAATCAACAAATTGGCATCAGTCGAGATTCAATAAAGTGACAGAAAATAAAAAACCGTGACAAAAACTAAAAATAAAAACTTTTAAAAAGTGACAAATAATATTTAACTCAATTAAAACCTTAGAAGAGATCTAGCGAATTGTGATTTTGTTCTAATGTTGTCTCTTGTGATTATGTTTTACTTTTATTGACTACCATATTAACTTAAATTTGAAAGCTATTTAATAAAGTAACAAAAATTCAAAAAATGATAAATATTTTTAAAAAAAGTGACAATAACTCGAAACGATGACAAATAATAATGAACATCAACTATAATTAAGACATTTTGACACCAATTTCAGAGTGATAGTTTTGATTGGCGTTTTTTCAATTTTTTGAGTATTCCTCAATTTTTTGAATTTTTGTCATTTTTTGAGTATTTTTCACTTTTTCTAAATTTTTGTCACTTTTTTTAAATTTCTCTCTTTTTTAGTGTTATATCTTTTTAAAATTTTTGTCATTTTTTTTTATTGTTCGTCACATTTTTATTAATTTTCTGTCACTTTTCTTAAATTTCTATAATTTTGGTTATTGTTTGTTACTTTTTTAAAATTTTTATCACTTTTTTTAATGATAAAATTACTTATTTTAATAAAAGTGATATTATATGTCACTTTTTAATTAAAAAAAAAAGTGCCACTTAACTTAAAAATGTAACATTGTAGTCACTTTTCAATAAGAAAGTAACACCTAATTTTACATAATATTTTTTACTTCCAAAACACTTATCATATGATTTTTTAAAAGACTTCTAATTTTAGGTATATTTTTGTAAGTTGCCCGTTTGTTAAAACCGAAAGGGCAAAAATGAAATAAGAAGTTTACATTTAGAAAAAGGTCTAAAATAGAAAATTGTGGAAACTTAAGCCAAGATGAAGACATGAAAGGTGGACTTTCGACAATCTGACATCTAAAATGAAGGTTCAGTGCACATGCAAAATGATAAGAAAAGTCTCACAGGATATATGATAAGTTGATACACTCCCTTTTGGCATGGAACCTCATTTTTTCTACCAATGGTATCAAAGTTAGATCCCAAACTTAATCATGTGAATGCACGAGGTGAATGCCCATAGTAGACGAAATAAGTTGAATTGCATTGTCGGAAAAAATTGTGACAATTGTGCCCACATAGTCTTTGATACACTAGCAGAGTTGGGCATTAGAGGAGCATTCATAATTTGAGAAAGAGAGACCATCGCTTGAGAGGATCGAGATGATGTGGTACTTTGTTCGAAGATGATTGTTGAAGTTTGATTTCAAATTTCAATAATAAAATCTTATATTAGTGTAATTAGATGAGAAGAGTCGTAATATATTTGTAGGATATTCAAAGGCACTGTTGGACGGATAAGCATTGGGAATTAGACCATTTTGGACTTGGAATTGGGACCCTTATTTTGTCACCAATTGAGCTATGAAATTCAGCCCTTGTAGGCTTGTATAGTTACATAGTTTGAAGTATGAATGAACACGCTTCATCGTGGGACATTTTATGGTCCCAACTTCAAAATTCACAATAAGCCAACGTTTTGGATATCTGTTAGAATAATCTAATAATGAAATTGCCAACGATATTTTCGTGTCATATAAAAATAAATGGTTGATACTGATCGAAGTTAGGCATGAACTTTGGCTGTTTTCGCATCAATTGCTCCAGCGATTGCAAAATAAAAGTGATAGCAAAACATAATATCGTGTTAAGAACAACTACGCAATGTCCCCCTTTCAATCTTTACAAAATACAAATATGCATAGATCCAAACGAACATTGATGTAAATTAAATCTTTCTTATACATGCAATTCTGCAATTTCCCCGTCGAGGGAACATGAGTTGCTTGATTGTAATAGTAACAAATAAAGAATCACTTACTAGTATTACTGCTACCAGCCAGTTGTCCTAGGACGTTCTGTTTCAATGCGAAACACCAACTGACCAACTTGCTTCGTCAATGAAAGTTGATCAAACTGTACGTTCCCAATATTAACAGCCTCGCAGGAAACAAAAGCACGACAAGCAAATGCACATGTTGTGATGCAACTAACCTACTAAAGCGTTTCCAAGACTCTCGACCAGTTTGTACTATTCCTGAGAAGTTGAACTGACCTCGACCCATGTCACCAGATGCAACAGGACGACTCACGATAATACCAGCATTGACTCCATGTGGTGCAATGAGCGGCCTCCAGAGTTTCCTACGGCGTTCTCTTCTGGCTTTTCTTATCTGGTTGAGCTCTTGGCGAATAACAATACGTACAGATTTCAAGTATGAGTCCATATCATGATCTCTTTGAATGGTTCCTTCAGAACCATATGCAGCTCGATCACTCAATATCTCAAGTGGATGTGGTGAGCTCAAAAACACAGCCTGTGCAGCCCGGATTAGCCTTTCTGGCTCAACGTCTGAAATTGAGCAGCTTAATATATACAAACCACTCCCTGAAGGAAGAAGATCATGCCTGGGAGAAAATTTCTCATCCGGTTGAAGAATTAAAAACTCCCCCATTGGAGCATATAACAGCTTCTGTTGATGAGATAGCATGAATTAATATTTAAATTCATAATTTTTTGACAAAAATGTACGACAATCTGAGAACAGAATTCAAACATTACCTGGTTATTAAGACATGGAAGATTGCGGAAGTTTCCATTTACAGCCTTAAGAAACTCTGCTACATGATCAGGATAATTGCAAGAGAAAGCTCGGGGAACAATGTCTCTGTGCATTGTTATTGCTTGGACATGATTTCGAGGCAATCCGAGGTCCCGTAGAAGACGATCTCCTCCACACATAATTGATGGTGCGCCGAAAGTTATAGCAGGAAGTAATGAAGAAACGGGTGCTCCAGCCCTTATTAGCAACATGAGATTTACGAGTACTGATAAACTACCACCAAGAGAGTGTCCCGTAAATCGAAATTTGGCACGGTCTCCATGAGATTTTAGGTGTGCATGAATTTCAGGCAACATCTGCTCGTAGGTCCCCTTTGCAGCCTCATATATACCTCTGTGCACGAGCACATCCAGTCCCTAAAGGAAGAAAACATATCAGTCCCTCTGTTATGACAGTCTCCAAACGAGTCTTGTATAAAACTTTGGAAAAATGATTTTCATGAATGCATCCAAGAACCCAACTCAACAACGATTCAATGAAGTTAATCCGAGAAATGGTTCACAAGAATGCAGTATTATTCATAGAATTACCTCAAACTTAACAGGCTCAAAGAGTAGATTGGCCTGCCATGATGCCAGCGACTCAGATCCCTATAAGCAATAAAACGGTATAAACATTTAGTAATAGAATAGCTTTATGTCGATTAATCTGAATCAGCTGTCCATTTATGATAAACAAACTTTGCCAAAAAACACAAGCGGCTATAACCTCTTATAGAAAAAGAGTCTAGTCATATTACCTGAATGACAAAGAATCTTGTCGCACTCTGATCGTCATCGCAAGCAAACCATTCACAAGGTGAGGACTTGGCAGAGTTTAAATCATCTGCAACAGCCTGCTTTACTTCTTCCTTCGCAGCAACCACTGCTGTCACCGAGTCAGTGGTAGCCATTAATGAAGCTACATCCCTGTTCATCACGTTGGCGTTGTCCATGCCACATATTGTTTCTTCAAGAAAATTTTCACTCGGTGTGGATTTGGATGTTCTAAAGCGAAGAATGCTCTTCGTATGAGTATGCAAATACGAAGCAGCAGAAGCAGCAATCTCATAAGCAGCAGATGCATTTATCTGCTTCCTATTAGGCTTCTCCACCCCACTTTCTGCCATTACATTTCCCTCTGCAACCCGAGCCTCATCAGGTGTCTTCTCTTCTTTTTGTTGGTCTTCAACCGAAGCCTTCTCTTTCTCAGCTTTCAATTCTTGTTCTTTCTTTTCTATCGACGAAGTTACAAACCGCAGTCCATGAAATCTCAGACGGTTCTTAGGCTGTACCATGAAATGAAAAAACAAACCGATAAGATATGTTCTAACAAATATAAAGCATCAACCAACATTTTGTGCATAGCTACTCAATTTAACACTATAATGCCCATTGATCAGGAATAAAACAATTGACCTAAGCAAGAAAGTTTCACAAAATCTCAGAAGAACAAAGCAAATTAGGAAGCCGGGAGACCCAAATTGCAATCAGATCAAGTTGCGTTCTTCATAATAACAATGTATCTAGCAATGGATCACGCCAGCAATCGATGGCAGAGGTGTATCAAGATTCACAAAAAGGTCCACGAAATTATACTAACAAACAAAAATAGCCAATTCACAGTAAAGAATCAACATTGATCCAAAAACAATCACACATCAAGCAGATAATCTTTATCCCATATCATTTGTTCCTTTCAAGATCGACTTATCCGAACTAAGTAATCAATAAGTCATGAATGAAAAAAATACCTTGATCTGAGGTATGGAATAAGCTAAAGCTCCCAAATAAGACATTTGAGCATATAATCTAGCTTCTGCTAAGGGCACCTTCCTAAGCAGCTTTGAAAATGATTCTCTATTGAATTCTATCTTTTCATCATCTTCTCCATCAATTGTACACACATCACAATCTTCATTTTCGTCACAAGAATCCCCTTTCTTTTCATCATTTGCATTCAGTCTACCATTTTTATTGTCATCTTCCAATTTCATCCCCATTTCTTCAACCAATTTACCATCTATTTCCCCTTCTTTCCGGAGGGACCTCACACGCAAAATCTTTAATACCCAATTCCCATTTTCCCCTTCCGATTCTCTTTCTTCACTTCTGTTCTCTTCTTTTTCCTCCACCAAAACGCCGTCGTCCACTGCAATTGCCGGCTCGCACCGATTCTTGCCTCCAGGCCATAGAGATCTGAAAGGGTACCTTAAAGTGAACCCCCACGGCGAATTCCTTGGTGGCGCCGCCGGCCCCAATGCACTTATTTTGGAAGGTTGGCCCATAGGTAAATCCAGCATCCCATTTCCCACGACGGCGAGTGGCGGCGCAATTCCATGAATACCTGCCTTCAAACCCAATGCATCCATTCTTGAAAAAAAAGAGGAGTATTTCTTCTTAGTGGGATTTCTTTGTTCCCGATCAAACTTGTATATTTTATACAACTCTTTGCGTCTATAGCTATACAGGTAGGATGTTGACGCTCAACACAAGCTTTGAGTTTTGAGTCGTCTTCTTTGCTGAATATATGGAAGTTTAGAGAGAGAAATAATATCTTCTACGTTTTGAACTGAAAAAAATGTGACTTTTAACAGGCTTTCCTCTCTCTTCTTAAAGACGAAACTTTTGAGCCCAGCCTATCAATTCAAGATCCCTTTTTTCGTAGAACAACAAATAAAATTGTAAGAAATAAATTAAAAAACGTGTTGCGGTTCCTTTAAAATGAAACCTCTTTTGTCTTTAGAAATAATTTGTTAGAATTTAAGTCGATTACTCTTTCATTTTAAACTATGTTGTATTTTCACACGAATCTTAACTAGGCATGTCATTTTTGAACACGGTGGAAGTTGTTGATTTTTAAGTATGTTGTTCGTGTAAATACTAAATACGATTAGAATATGAGAATATTGTCGTGAAGTCTATTAAATTAGTCAATTATTTGTACTTCAAATTGTAATTTCAACGAGTTTATGGTAAACTATCGAATACCAGTATCAACTGCGAATAACAAAGGAAAATTACTATAATAAATTAACTATTTTTATAGGTCCAGAGTCAGGCCCCTCGATAATAATAATAATTGTTGGGAAATATGGCAAATCAAATTGGAATTTTACTTTTTGCAAATAAAAAAGAGAGTGGCTGGAAAATGTAGGACCCCTTAAAAGTTTAGGGATATGAACATGAGTGCCACGTCATTATCTTGCAGATCGACATGACGTCTCATCTGGGATTTGATTTTGCTTGTGAATTGTCGCCATACTCGCTTCAACAAGGTAACTCAAAATCAACACAACTCTTGGAAAGGAAAAATATCAATTTTGCTTCTTTCAAACTCTGATTAAAAAACATGGTTATATTTCCATAATCCAAAATACCTTATTTTCTCCCTCAATCCCATCGTTTCTTACTCACTCTACAGTCCAATACTCAATAGGGACAGACGATCATTTTGTGTCTCGTCCCATTATAGATTTTTTCTCATGTACCTTCCGTAAGATTGAACGAGGCGATCAATACTCGTATCCATTTCAAACGTGTCTTGCGTGCCAACCCACTGAGCAAGGAATTCCATCCATATTTGGGGTGGGACCTCGATCAAATTTCTTTGTCATTCCCATTCAAACCTTACATAATGTAACAATATTTTATAGTTGCAATTAGATAAGGAATAGCCTCCAAGACGGTTTTGGGTCATCTAATATCCAAAAGAGAATAAATGTTCAAGGGACAATTCAAATATAACATGTTTAAAATATACCATTTCAAAATTAAGAAATATGTTTTAAAATTTCAAAAATCATGTTATAATTAAAATTTATTAATTAAGGCCCTGTTTGGGAGAGATTAAATTTTTCTACAGTAAATCAATTCTCATTTTCAACCACACATTTTTCAATAAAATAATATTTTCCATCACATCAATAATTTTTTCTTCCTTTTCAACCACACATTTCCCATCATATCACTATTCAAAATCAATTTTTTCCCCAAAAATCTCTCTCAAACAAGCTCTAAATATATTAAGGACACAGTATTACAGTTTATGATCACAATTACATACTAATTACAATAGTACAATGTCAGTCACAAATCACAAATTTTATAGGTCACAACTTATTTATTGATCACAAATTATGAAATTAATTAGTCATGCAATTTTTCTCGATCACAAGTCACAAATTTTGTTGTTCACAAATTATTTATCGATCATAAATTCTCAAATTAATAAGTCACGTAGTATTCCCAGTCACAACTTACAATTTTTATAGGTCACGATTTATTTATCTATCACAAATTACAAAATTAATAGGTCACATATTATTTCTTGGTCACAAATCGAAAATTTTACAGGTAACAAATTATCAAATTAATTCCAATTTTTCTCACGGCGTTGGAACCCGTCGGCATCATCGGGCAATGCTATTGTTTCTGCAACAGCAACATTAGGCTACAATAGCTATGCCTGAGCCGCTACAACGTTGCTGCAACTCGTAATAGCCCTACGCTACTGTTTGAAAGAAATGCCAACTATGAAAGACAATGACAAATAAGGATGCGGGGGCTACTTACTAGAGATGAAAGACAATAACAAGGATGCCGACGTCTGAAGGGGTCGCCAACGACTGGGAAATTGTGTGGGATGCCAGCGTTTGAATGTATCACCGACGGCTGGGATTAGTGGTGTGTGAGGGAGGGTATGGCTATGGTGGGACCCTGGAAATTGATTAGGATTTGGGATTTGGTTGGGGTATGGTTGTTAGTTCGAGAATTGTTATATATGTTTTAAATTAAAAAATAATTATAACCTAATTTTTGAAGAAAAAATAGTTATAATTTTATTTTTGAAGTTGAAAATTTAAATGTAGCGGTGGGTGTAATTTTCACATGTTCTGGTCACATTTAAGATGGGCTAGAAGGCCCACCATTTATTTTATCCCTTCAGTGGGCCGGACTTCTATTATATGGATCCAAGTAACAAGGCCTAATTGGGTATAGGGATGCCTCAGAAAAATTGATAATCAGGAAAAAAAAAAAGGATTTTTAAAATAAAATTACAACCATATATGAATATTTAAGCACGTTTAAAATTTGGGTTTTTGCTTCAAGAGTGTGTGTTTTCGGATGGATTTATTCCTGTAACTTCTCGCTTTTGTATCTATGCTTACAGTCCTTTTGTTTCATTGAATTTTGTTGTTTTACCCTTAATTTCTGAACATACTACTTTTAATTTATTTTCAGTTATCAGATTCTTCAATTGATGCACTACAGCCTCTTGTGAAGGATATTGTTGTGTGACATATTTTATTCTTGTTCTTTTCTCATCTGGACTTGGTTAAATTTTCTGGGAACCTGCAATTGTGAACCACAATTAATTTCCATACAAATAAATTCTAGGCAATTAAATTGTTCAAAATTAATTTTCTTTTCATACAAATTTCATATACGCAATCTAACGCACCCTTAGTTTCTATGGTATAAGAAACCAAACCATAATTGTAACTTCTACTGGTCCATAAAGCTCAAAATACTGCATCTAAAATAGGAAAAATTTTAACCGAGGATTTTCTCTTCATAATTCTTAAGGTACAAATCTGTGGCACATATGCCTCAGGCACATAAAATTATGAAACAGATGCTGGGATTAAGTTGATAGCCTAAAAAATTAAATATATCTCAATTTGGGCACATTTTCTTTTAGTAATTTGCCATTATTCTCATCATTTTTAAGTACTTTAAACTTTTAGCCGTTTCTGTGATGTTTTGACAAATTCAAAATACCTATAATTTGATCTTGTAGGATGTGCCAAAACTTAATCGATGCACGTAATTGTTGGCCATGAGCGAGGAACTAAAACAAACAAGACAAGCTTTTGATGTCGATGAAGAGACACTTGTTACAATTGAGTGATGACCTAATGTGTACTCCAACAGATATTCAAGCATCTGCAACTATATTGTCAATTAAGACTGTATTTTATCTCTTGTTAATTCACAAGCATACGGGCTAGAAAATTTCCTCGCTTCAAAATCACTTCATTCCTTGTTCTTTAGGAAATGTTGACAACATATGCTATTCCATAACTGCTATAATATTTCATAAAATTGGTAACTGAATATGAGGAGGCTTAGATATCATGGAAATATGTCTCTGAAAAACCTCAACTTTTCATTGTCGACCAAATTGCAATGCAAGAAGGCATTATACAACTCAATACTATACTATCCCTAGTTCCCCGATTCAATTGATTACAACATCAACAGGCAGAAAATGACACCTTTACTACCAAATTCAGCTCTACGCAAACTCAAAGGTGTACACCCAAGTTGAGGAAGAGAGTCCCCTCATGGAGAATTTATGCTACTCT